ATAAGACTGAAGAAAGCTTTCCCTCCAAAATCAGGACCAAGACAAGGATGTTTGCTTTCATCACTTTTATAAATATAGTTCTGCAACTCCTGGCCAGAAAAATTAGCCAAGAAATAAACAGCACCATTGGAACAGAAGAAGTAAAATTATCTCTGCAGATAACATGTTCTTATAAGGAAAAGATAACTATTAGAACTGATTTTTAAAATTCAGCAGTTACAGAATACAAAAATTCAAAACACCAAAACAAAAAAAGAGTTGCATCTTTATCCATTTACAATAGCATCAAAAAGGATAAAATACTTAAGCATAACCCTAACCAGGGGGATGCGCTGTTGCTGTGGCCTGACTGTGCCCTATCCCCATTGGTAGGTTGAAATTCATCCCGGTGTGGTAGTATTAACAGGGAGGGCCTTTCTGAGATGATCAGGCCATGAGGGCACCATCCTCCTGGATGGCACTGGTGTGCTTCTAAGAGGTCCAAGGGATCTTGTTCTCTCCTTCCACCTCACGAGGACACAGAAGGCACCATCTAGTAATAAGATGGCCTTCCTCACATACTGTACCCTTTATACCCTTTATTTTAGACTTCTCAGCATCTATAACTGTGACCAGTAAATTTCTGTTATGTATAAATTACTTAGTATAAAGGTTTTTTGCCTTTATAAAAGTGGATGGATGGAGACAAAGTGGAAGAGTTGCACACTGAAAACTATAAAACACTATCAGAAATTAAAAACACAAATAAGTGGAAAGATCTTTTCCTGGTACAAAAGACATACTACTGTGAAGATGTTACTATTACTCAAAGCAATCTATACGCTCAATGCACGCTCTGGGAACATCTCAATGGCATAACCACATGCAGAAAATGAAGTTGGTCCATACACAAAAATTAACTAAAGGGCTGGGGCTGTAGCTCAGTCAGAACAGTTGCCTACCTTGTGTGATGCCCTAGATTAGTACCCTAGCAACACACACACACACACACACACACACACACACACACACACACCACCTCAAAGACCTAAAGACCTAAATGTAAAATCAAAACTGTAAAACTCCTAGAAGAAAACATATGGGGAAAATTTCATGACAGTAGATTTGGCAGTGACTTTCTTGGATGTGATAGCAAAAGCACAAATAACAAAAGAAAGAACTGGAATTCCAAGCATAGTGGTGCATGCCTGTAATCCCAGTGTTGTGGAAGCCTGAGGCAGGAAGATCACAAGTTTGAGCTCAGACTTAGTGAGACCCTGTCTCAAAATTTAAGGGTGTGTAAAAACAACAGGACAGGCAAACTTCTGTGCAGGGTTTATAACTCACTTTAGAGCACCTGCCAAGCATGCTTTCAGTTTGATTCCAAGTGAAGGCCCACCCTGGGTGTGAGTGGCACTAACTTGTACCCTGGATGGAATAAAAATGGAAGGAAGGCTCACTCCTCCCTGCCTGCCTTTCCACAAACTCTCCTTTGCCATACCACCCTCCCTTGCAGCCAGCCGGCTGGGGCCTGAAACCTCTACAAACTGTGAGCTACAACCTACCTTTCCTCCTTTAACTTGTGGGTGCCAGGTATTTTGTCCCAGCAACAAAAAAGTAAGGCACTGTACAAAGGACACAATTAACAGGCTGAAAAAGTAACCTAAGGAATTGGAGAATATTTGGAAGTCATAAAAAGTTAATTAATATAGAAAGAAGTTCAACTCAATAACAACAAAAATAAATGACCCAATTAAAAACTGGCCAAGGATTTGAAAGACATGTCTCCAAAGACAATCAGCAAATAGGAAATACAAAACAATAAAAGATGCTAACATGACTAATTATGAGAGAACTGCAAATCAGCCCCACAATGCAGTATCGTCTCTACCCCTTAGGGTGACTGCTGTTAGCAAAAAGAAGAAAAGTGTTGATATGGAGAAACTGGAACTTCTGTGCACTCTTGGTGGGAATGTAAAACGGTCTTGCCACTATGGAAAAGAACTTGGAGGTTCTTCAAATAATTAAAAATACAATTACCATCTGAGCCAGTAATTTGACTTGCTATGAACTAAACATGTCCCTTGAAGATTCACATGTTGAAGCCCTATAGGGTCTTTGGGAGATCATTATGTCACCAGGGCAGAGCCCTTCTGAGTGAGACTAATGGAGAAGAGAGATGAAATTTTGTTTCATATGAGGATTGAGCAAGAAAGCACCCTTCTGCAAATGAGGAAGAGGCCCCTCACCGGGAACTAAACTGGCCTCTGACTTCCCAGCCGTTAGAATGCTAAGGAATAAACTTCTGCTCTTAACCTAGTCCAATATTGTGGTAGTTTTGTCATTGAAGCCCAAACTAAGACACCACTTGTGGGTATAAAAGAATTGAAAGCAAGGTCTCAAAAGAAATCTTTGCATACCCATGCTCATAGCAGCATTATTCTTAACAGCCGTTTGGAAGTAACCCAAAGAATGACTGAGGTGAACAAAATGTGATACATGCAATGGATATTATTCATCTATAAAAAAGAAGGAAACTCTGTCATACTATGAGGTGGATGAACCTTGAGGACATTATGCTAAGTGGCATAAGCCAATCACAAAAAGAAATATACTGTATGATTCCATTTTTAGGATCACATATACTAAGCAGTAATCAGAAAGTAAAACGGTGACTTCCAGCAGAGGAAGAAGTGTGTGAAGTTGTTTAATACACATAGAACTTCAGTTTTACAAGATGAAAAAGTTCTAGAGCAAGGTTGCAGAACAAAATGAGAATTTATTTAACACTACTGAATTTGTTCAGTTAAAAGTACTGTTATGTCATCTGTGTACTTAAGATGGTAGATTTTATATATGTGTTATGTTTTCTTACCACAAAAAATTTTTGAAGGAAATGGGTTGTTGCAAACAGTCCAGTCTGCATGAGTCTGAAGGGGGCTTTTTGGCAAGAAGAATAGGTCTGATGGTATCATACCACAAGTTTTCATAAATTCTGAGGGGGTATGTTTTGGGTAAGGAGGGGTTTGATCTTTCACTGAAAGTAGGATGTACAGGTTGCTATGTATGTAATATAGACTTCTATCCTGAAATGTGGAGATTAGCCCTTCAGGCTTGAACTCATTCATTTCATCTATTGGACTGAATCTATCAGCACGCACTTATGGGTGTGGACTGCAGTAAAGTGAATATGCTTTGGGACCGTGTGTGAATATGCTTTGAGCACCAGTCCCGGATGAGCCCCAGATGACTGAAATGTAGCTTACTCTAACGGGCTCCAACAGCCCGTCCAGCCTGGGATGGCTGCCTGTTTATTTTTAGGGTAAGAGATAAGCCATTCACAGCTTTTCTCCAAGCAGAGCAGTAAATTCACTCTGATTTCCAAATCATCATTTGGTATAGATAACAACAGTAATATTATTTTGTCTTCTTAAATCATGTACTCAAAGACCAAATGTATCCCACCAAAAAATGGCAAATTAATTGCCATCACAGTGACGTAACTTAGTGAGCTGCTCTACATATCCTACACTGGACGAGACAGCTTGGCCATTTAATGACTTGTTCAAAACTACTTTACAACAAAACAGATATTGTTCTCATTTTACAATGTAAGCTCAAAAATTAACTTTGCTAGGGGCCAGGGATATAGCTCAGTGGCACAATGCCTGCCTTGCAAGTGTGAAGTCGTGAATTTGATTCCTGGTACCAAAAAAAAAAAAAAAAAAAAAAGTTAACTTTGCCCAAGGCCAACCCATCTAGCACAGGAGAGTCAGGATTCAAAGCGGTCTGCTGCCAGGAAGATAGCTCAGCAGCACAGCACCTGCCTGGTGAGCATGAGGCCCTGAGTTTGATTCCCAGTACTAAAAAAAACAAAAACAAAAACAAAAACGAACATCAAATGGGTCTGCTATACACCCAAGCCTGTGCTCTTTCTAACCCATTCTGTGACCTCTCTAGACACACAGGTATGATTACAACACTGCAAACCCAGTCATTTTATTGTAAATGAAGAGAAAAGTAAAACTTCTCCATCTACTTTACTTGTTTAATAAAAGCAAATGGTCCAAAGTAGTGTTCTATTTTTCTGCATGTTCTTTCTCTTATGGGGACCAGGAAAATGCTGGTACCTAATCAGAAAATTTGTTTTTTAGACATAGTAAGGATTAGCACAGGTGCTTATGTAGAAATGTGTCCCAGTCCTATTCACTGTCATTCTTCCTACAGTCAAAAATCTCATACGCTAAAACAAATCTAATTCATTTAACAGTTCATTTAACTAAGAAACTGAAAGGATTTGAATTCCCAAACTGTTAAACTGGAATTCCAAAACTAACACTAAATTATTAGAGAATAGGAGAAAAAGTCATTTATTTTTAAAAATGTACATATTTTCATCTTACATTTCTCACAATAAATAACATGTATATTCATTTTTTCCATAATACCTAATAAGAAGAAATGCTTATTTATTTTAAAATACTATTCACTACAATCTGTACTTTAAAAACTTTCAGTATTTCTTTAATACTAAAAAAGTTCACATTTGTTATCTCTCCTTGAGAATGAGGGGGGCTGGACCCCTTGTGTCTGTGATCAGAAAGAAGGGGCGGGCAGAGGTTCCAGCAAGGTGCGGCGACTCTGAATCCGGTTTAGGAGCTGCTGGGCCACAGGCTTGAATTCCGTTTCCCAGTGAAGCTTGTGATAATTTTTTAGATCTTGATCAAAACTGCTACCCAGTGCGAGTTCTTCATCTGTATCAGAAAAATTAAAATTACAGTAATTATTTGGAAATATCATCTTATTGAATAGTTTAATTTTTGATGACATGAGTAAACTTCACCCTGCGTCATCTTTAATACCAACATGAGACAAGATAGGCTTTAGTTTTCCATTTGTTGAGAGGGGGCTCCTTATGCTGCCCAGGCTGGTCTTAAACTCCTGGGTTCAAATGATCCTCCTGCCTCAGTTTTCCAAGTAGCTGGGACTATAGGTGCAAGCCACTGCACCCAGTGAAAAAGTCTTTAAGAAGAGGTCTTCATCTCTCTTCCTCTCTCTCTTTTTTTTTTTTTTTTCTTTTTGAGACAGGGTTTTGCTACACATCTCAGGCTGGCCTTGAACTCACTTTGTAGCCCAGGCTGGCCTCGAATTCACCAGTGAACCTTCTGCCTCAGCCTCCTGAGTGCTAGTATTACAGGCGGGTGCCACCATGCCCAGCTCTTTACTCTCTTTTATTTTCTACAAATATTTAAAACAAATATACCTTAGTCTATTAGTAGGGCAATGATTTTCTTTAAAAAAAAAAAATCCTAAATTGAATTGAACTTCTTTTAGTCTCTTTGTTTTTTACATGTAAATTTGCATCTAAAAATCAGATTATAGTTTCTCAGAATAAGCAAAGTATTAATGTGTTACATGCATTAGAAAAGTTATTTACTTCAATGATTGACAGACAAAAGGGATGTCTGTGGTAGAGTGATTTCTAGCAAGAGCAAGGGCCTGAGTTGGAGCCTCAGCATTGCAAGAGTAAATGAATAAACTGAAAGTTAGAACTCTCTTGGCTTCAAAGCAATAGGGATTTTTTTCTTTAAAAAGGCAACCCTTGTCCCCACCCCCACCCTCTTTCCAATAACTGATAATTGGGGAACTTTGAGAATTCCAAGGAGTGTTAAATCCCAAGCAAGGCCATAGATAATGAAAAAAAAATTCACTTGTTAGAAAATGCAAAATTACCACTTTAATGTCATCCTTTATGCAAGGGCACCCTGGATCCTGCAAACACCATCCGTATATTCAACCCAAGTGGGAAGATATGTGGCCCCTGAAGTTTCTGCACCAACTCGCCACCACATTTTTCCTTGTTTATACTGGGCCTCACCTCACCCCCATGTGACAGACCAGGAACGAGGGCTGACTTGCCAGTCAGAAAATTGGCTCCGCCACTTCCTAGGTCTGTGGCCTGAGGCTGACTTCTTAAATGACAACCACTAAGTCCCAAAATGACCACAAAGGCTGCTACTTACATAATGTCTAAACATATTTTTCATTACTGTTTATATCAGATTTGATACACTGAATGTTTGCGTATGCTCCATGTGTACTTTGGCACTAAAGATATTACTGTCACCACCCAGCATAAGATAAGGGAGTGTCCAGTCCCAGCGTGCGCCTCCCCCTCTCCCTCGCAACCAAGCGACAGCTATGCAGCTCGGAGATAAGTTCCAGGCAGACACAAACACTTCAGCAGGCACTCCATGGACACCCTGAAAGCAAAGCGGGCTTTCCCTGCCCACAAGATAACCGGGGCCTGCAGGGAGGATGCAGAGCTGTGCCTGATGTCTCCAAAGCCCCTCCTGTTCGGCTGCTTCTGGACTGCTAGATTCGGGGTGACTTCAGATTTCTAGATCATCTTCCTTGTCACTTCTTTCCAGATTTGCTGAGCTCTAAACTTCAGTTAAGAAAGGAACGCTTTTGTTTTAATGCCTTTCTTTCCCCAGCCGCCTAAGGCTGTGCACTGTGGCCCATGCAGTGTACAGACCTTTCCTCTGCCCAGGGCTTTGGTTGCATTTGATGATTTTTGCAAAATCTCCATTGGTTTTCTCCTCTCTCCCACTTCCCCCTCCTTCTCTCTCTCTCTTCCTCTCTCTCTTTCTCTCTCTCTCTCTCTCTCTCTGTCTGACTTTGTTACTCTTGAATTTTAGCCTACTGATATTTAGAAATTAGTTTATCTCTTTTCGGATCGTATTAATTCTATTCCTTGGCTTTTTTTTTGCTGGGGGGAGGGTATCAGGAATTGAACTCAGGACCTTGTGCTTGCCAGGCAGGTGCTTGTGCCGCTGAGCTATATCCCCGGCCCTCAGATCTTAGTAATTCTAAATTGGGATAAACAAGACACAAAAGTAGCTAAACAGCTACATAGAAGAGAAATACACGCAGTATGAAGCTTCAGCACAAGCACGGCAAAGTGTTACATCACACTGGGTATTGAAGTTTTGAACTTGCACTTCAAAAGGCAACAGAGACTGATCTAATGAAAATTTAGATCTATGATTTTCAAACTGTGACCCATAAGTAAGAAATGCACTTAACATTATGATTCTGTAAACATTACTTAGTTACATACAAATAACATGTTTCACAATAGAATTACTAGATGTAATATATTCTGATATTTTCTTTCTTTGCTACCTTTTTTTCCCTCTAGTATTGGGGCTTGAACCCAGGGCCTCCACACTGAGCTACATCCTCAGACCTTCTCATTTTTAAATTTTCAGACAAGGTCTTTATAGCTGTGAGCCACCACATTTGACTAATTATTTTATTTTATTTTTAATGTTGGAGCCAGGATGGTGGTGCACACCTGTAATCCCAGCACTCCAGAAGCTGAGGCAGGAGGACTGCCACAAGTTCAAGACCAGCCTGAACTACAGACCCTGTCTCAAAAAAAAAAAAAACCAGAAGATGTTGGTTACAACCAACTAAATTGATTTCCTAACCCACAGTGTGAAGAGGATCGATTTAGATAACCAATCATTCTTAAGCTGTGTTAGTGCGCTGCATACTTTCAAATATACTAAAATTTGAAAGCTAAGTTAGGTGGTCCTAAAATCCCAGTGCTCAGTAGACTGAGGCAGAAGAATCGCTTTGAGTCAGAGGTGGCCTGCTCTCAAAAAAACAAAACAAACAAAAACCCAATATTAAATTTTGAAATAAAGTTATTAGAAAGTATTAAAAGACTCAAAACAGTCAACCTGCCAGTGATAATTATAACACGATCATCACTATAGTTCAAGTGTACTGCAGCATCCGGGCACTATTTCCTGACTTGTTCCCTAGCACCAGGTGACTGTTGGAGGGATGTGTCACTGTCCTGATCTTCCTCTCAACAGCCGGAGTCCTCATCTGTCCGGAAGCACCCGACAGCTCCCTGGCAGAGACCTTGTCACTAAATCTGAGTGCCAGGTTCCACATAACTTATAAGTGCACAATAACCTAGTGTTCTGCCCTTTGGTGACAATCAGCTACATACAAGCCCCATTTCCTGAGAGCGGCTCGTGATGACCAGGGTGCTGGGTGCTACTGCTTAGATCCTCCAGGTAAACACATCAATCATGAGTTTATAAGAAGCAACTGCAGAATACCAGAACATTTTAGACATGCTCTTTTTAAGCCTCTTTCCAGAAAGACTCAACTTTCAACCATGTTGAGGATCCTTACTTTCTGCCTTTTTTCCCCTAGTCACCCTGCAAGAAAAGTTAGGGAACTTTTATTACTATATCAATTGCCTTGCCACTATTTCCAAAAACAGCCCTCAGTTCTTCGGCATGGGCCTTTGTGATGTAATAGCTCATCCCGTTTTCAAAATAGCCTTTTTTAAAAGCTATCTTTGAAAAATAATTGCAATTCAATTGCCCACATGTCCATTCCACTGTGACAGGCCAACCGTCCGGATACAACCATGGCCTATCAGAAGTAAGGGTCTAAGTGCCCAACCCACTCAGAAAAAGCCAAGAAACAGTACAGCCCACAGAGCCCAAGAGGCCCAGTCCTCATAATTCTTAATGAGGAGCTCTGTATCATGTGAGAAAGCAACATGCTTTGTACTGACTTGGCTCCCTGATCAAACTCTGTTTATTTTTGTTATCCATGCCACAGGCTCCTTCCATGGGGCGGGTGCAGTCAGCATGTCCTATGTCATAGAACAGGCTCGATGCTTATCTTCTGATGGAAAGTCCTGGCTTTGATACAGTATGCCCTCAGGCAAGTCATCTACCTCTTCTAGACTGCCTTTCTTTCATCTGTCACTTAGCTAATGATTCCAGAAATATTTTGTGAGATGTGTTTAAAAAACATATTTTTTAAAATATGAAGCACTATTAGGGCTAAGGGCACAGCTCAGTGGTAGAACACTTACTCAGCATGCAGAAGACCCCTAGGTCCCGTCCCCAGCACCACACAAAACATACATACAATTCCCAAAGCAAAGGTATACAGCACTGTTAAAACACCGGTAACACTGCTGTTAGCTAAGTACCTACTTTGTGTGAGGCAATATTTTTTCCCCTAAAGCGGCTGAGTTGGAAGGGGAAAGATAAAATTTACAAGACATTAACCCAGGAGAAATCCCACAGATCGTGATTATGCAGTTGCTATATAGTAAGTAGAGGTTTTCTCATGATCATGAGCTTCAAGCGCTCTAAAAAGAGCCTGGAAGGACGCAGCACCTGCACAGCATATAGGGGACAGGGCACGTGCAAAGGCCAGAGGCTGGAGCAGCCCAGCGCTGGGAACGGAAATGACAGCCATCGACCACTGTAACGGAGTGCCTTCCGTGCACGCCGCCCCCGCTGCGAAGCCAGCCATGCCCTGTTGCTTCTGCTGGTCCCTGTGCGGTGGGGTCCCTCGCTCCGGATTATTGTGGCTGAGTACCCCAGACCTAGCTAAGAAAGGCAGCCACAGGGAGCCTGCCTGTCATGGGGGGGCAGCTCCGGCTGCCCACACAAAGCCTTGGGGCGCAGGAAATTCACTGAGCCAGTCACATCTTCCTTCTGAAAGGGAGACACAGAAAAGTGTGCCGGCAACAAAGGAGACACAGAGACACGCACGGAGTAGCAAACAGAAGCTTGGAGGTAGTAGGAGCCACGACCACGCTGGAGCCTAGCAGAAGCGCGGGGAGAGGAGAGAGCAGAGCAAGAGCAGAGCTGGGTCTCGGCACACTGGAGCCCAGGGGTGGGGCGCACGACGCCTGCTGCGGAGGGTCCCCCGCCTCCCCCAGAGCCTGTGGGCAGCATCCTGCTTTGGGCTGCACTTGCCCCTGTGCGTCCTTCTCTAAATCCCCTCACTAACCGGAGCCAAGGCTCTCAATCCTCACTGCACGTCAAGCTCACCTGAGGAAGCTTTTAAGGCACAGATCCTCAGTCCCAACCCCGGGGCTCCTGAATCAGCATTCCCGAGGATGGGCCAGGATGCCTGTTTTCTTTAATTCCACAGCTGATTTCAGTGCTCCTCCCACACTGCGAATTAAAGGGGCTAGGGAGGTAGAGCGCTTGCTTGGCATGCCAGAGGCCTTTGGTTCTATCCCCAGCGCCTAATAAGTAAGTTAATAAAAGAATTTGGAGAATGGAGTTAGGCAGCCAGGGCATGCACTTCAGCTTCCTGAGAAAGCTTAATGATCACAGAGCAGACTGTGAACCCAACCAACCATTTTTTTCTTAATCTGTATTTTAAGCACACTCACAAAATTATTTACCTGAGAAATAAGCAAATTTCACAACAGCCTAGTACACCTGATTCTTACAAATAGCTTCTGAGTCTTGGTGCTTAGAGTTTACAAGCGCTTCAGCTATCTTTCAAGGACTCACTGGGTCTCAGGGGGAACATTAGGCTCTCTGTGCATATATGTTCACTTATCATCCTAGCCAGCCTGCAGGGTAGATAGTAACTGTTCCTCCCTTAGAGATGATATAGATTCCAGACAGGTTAAGCCTAAGGTTTAAAACTTGCAAGGGATAAAGCACGGACTTGAACTTAGAACTATCTTACTATCTTGACTATAGGCCTGCTTGTTCTTCCCATTATGCTCTCGGGATGCTTATTTGAGCCTCACACCGAATCCCTGGGGAAGACAGAGATCATCATGTCCCTATTTTAAAGATGAAAAGATAAGCTGTCAGAGATTCCTTTGTTCAAATCACACAGTAGCAGAAAATGCCAGCCCCAGTATACTTCAGTTTGTTAGCTGCCCAGATAATAGTTCCTGTTCCAGTTCCAGTTGCTTCTGTCTCTTAGAAACAGCTGCTCACGGTGATGCATAGCTGGTCACTGTGATGCACATGGTATAAACCAATCCCCAACTGACAAGCCATTCTGCCTCTGTACTTCCTGCTTGCTTATCCCATATAAGCCCCAGACCACCAGAGGTCAGGGCCTGAAATTCTAGGAATGATCCCGATCAGTGCCTGTGGACGTAAATAAATCTGCCTCCAAACCCTGGGTGTCACTTTGGTGTTTTTGCTCGCCACTGCAACACCACCAACTAGAGGCAGGAGGATTTGAACCCATGGCTTCTGAGTCACAGGGAACCTTTCCCCAGAGCCTTGCCAATCAGTGGCTCAGCAATGATGGCTGTGCCTCCTCCTCTGTGTGGGGAAAAGGACTATTGAAAACACTCAACTCATGTACTGACCCAAGTCATTGTTTGTACAGATAATCCAGGGTGGAAAGAATTACCCTCTAAACAGAAAAACAAAGAAACAAAAAAATAAGAAGAGATCCTCTTTAGTCTGTACAACTTCAGCTTCTACTTTTAAGACTATGGATTCCACTGTGAAGCAAACATTTTCTTAGACCCTTTCCTGTAGATAACTAACACAGCTGCTAACTAAATGTAGAGATTCATTTGAAAGCATGACTTAAAGTTGCTCTTAGCCATATTTTTTCAGTGTCAACAGTGTGAAAAGACTTTTAAAAACAGAAATAGTTATGTTGAATTTGTAGTTATGCAGCCTATAAAAAAAGAAAAAAAGTCATAAAAAGTCATGACTGTATTGGAGTTAAAAGTCCCGTCCCTATTGTAGGTAACATTCAGCTTTTTCCAGAGAGTTCCAAATTATAATAAGCTTTAACATTCTCTTGTTGCTTATAGAAAAACAGCTATCCAAACACACATCGGTATTTATTCATACAGGTCACAAACAGACATTTTTCTTATCTCACATGGATGAAACGCACAGATTCACTTACCTAAAAATGACGCCAGGAGGACTAAGAGTGTGTTGGTGTCTTCATCTCCAAAACATGACGAAGCATTGCTGGTATTTTCACTGAAGTTCCATAAAGTTTTGCACACCAAGCAGGCCAGCTGCCAATCGGTAGGGCCAAAATCTCTTAAGCAATCCACTAGCCTAAGTTTATAAAAGTCAAATTGAGAAGTCAGAGTCTGCCTTTAACTTTTGCATGTCTAGCATGATGATTATCCTATGATGATATTTAATATGCGCCATATACGATTCAATGATCATTTCAAATAATTTAATATCTACAAATTTAAGTGGCTGCAAGGTAGCAGTAATTCACTTGTGAATGATTTTAAGCATCTAACGGAACCTAAGTCCCCTCCTTAGCTCCGGCCTGGGGCTTCGGAATGTTGAAATACCTCTGTCCCCGAGAGACATGGGAGAGGCCTCAGCTCCTAAGAAGCTGTATCCTCTGGATCCTGAGTCTGGACTCCATGCCCTGATACTTACTTTTTAATGCCACCTCCCTCCTCGAGGACAACACGCTTGTCTTTATCCACAGTGAGATTGAGGAGAACACCACAGGCAGAAAAGCAAAGGTCCTGGTGCTTGGCATCCAGCAGCGCAATCAGGAACTTGTGCACTGGGAGGGCAGAGAACAAATGCAGATCAGCGAAAGCTCCAGGCTCACAGCCGTATGTATCCTGTTTCACACAAACGGCACAATGGAAATGGGGGGAAATGGCTTGCAACATCTGAACCCCGGCAGGGAACCTAAGCCATTTTCCTAAGTCTTTATCTACCTAGCAGCAGTGGGATCTCCCGACAGCCACCACTCTCAGATCCTGTTCCCCCACTCCCACTTCCCCACTCCCCGCTCCAGGTCCACTACTGTAACTGACCCAGGCAGCAGCTCCCACTTCCAGGAGGCGATAGAGTTCTTGCTCATAGAAAGGGAATGAGGGTAACATGTGTCTCTAACTCGGGTTGTTCTCAGGGGTTTTTTTGACCTTCCGGGGCCACTTCGTTAATTGCCCGGGTTGGGGGGTGAAAGTCTGTTTCTGATGTGATAGATCTTCCCTGAGGAAGACCTGCAGAGGCCTTGTGGGAGAGAAGATGCTCAGTCTGCTGAAACCTGACCTGTCTAAGGCAGGGCCGCCAGAGAGCGCTCATTTTGCCTTGGGGAAACTGTTTTCCCTTACTCATAGGAAATGGAGCTGGGGACTGTTTATCCTGTTTTCTCATCCCCTCAGCAAAGGATGGAGAAGGTGTGTGCTCTACCTCTTCCTGATGCTGTGCACCTGAGGGTGGCGGCCCTGTTTTGACCTCTGCCCTACTGACTGGGCTGAGCAGTGAGCGAGGCAGAGGTGACCCCCTAAAGAACACACACCCAAGTGGGGACAGCTGTCATTATCTCTGGGGCAGTGAGACCGTGGGTGGCGGTTTGCTGCTCCTGCTCTTTATATCCGCACCACCGAAAATTCTGTGAGGAACATGGACAGTTGAGTGTTAAAAATTATTCTTGCATGAAATATGCGAGACATATAGTGCATGGTTAGTATAAATACTTGGGTGGCTGCTACCCACTAGCATGGGAAATAGAGCAGTACATTCAAAACATGTTGGAAATAGCAAATATATATAATTTGTCAGTTAAGTAAAACATTACAGATCCAAATTTATGTCTTTGGACTTTTTTCATCTCCAAAGGTATATTCTGTCTTAAATATGGACTTTATCATTTCCATATACCATTTATACTTTATACCGTTATATGAATGTACACACATAAGCAATACCCCCGGATAGTTTTGTTTATTTTATATTAGTGGGGATTGAATCCAGGGCCTTTTCCCTGAGCTATATCCCCAGCCCTTGTATGTATGTATGTATATACGTATGTATGTATTTTGAGGCAGTGTCTTCTTAAGTTCCCCAGGCTGGCCTCCAAATAATGATCCTCCTGCCTCAGCCTCCAAGTGGCTAGGGTCTTAAGGCATATACCACTGCACCTAGCCCTAGCATAGTTCTCATATTTTTGAACTTATACTGGTGGCGTTACTCTCTACATGTCCTACTATATCCCTAGATTTTTGGTCCCTACATTATGTGTTTTAGTTAGGTGCATGTTGGCACATGATTAAGTCATTTATTAATAGTCATAGAACAGTGATGGTGAACCTTTTAGAGCCCGAGTGTCAAATTGCAACCCCAACTCCACTTATTTATCACGAAGTGTGAACACTGCGATTAAACCTGAGTCCTGAGGTTTTAGTTTGGAAAAAACAACTCAGACATGAACATCTTTTATCTTAAAAGAAAAGCTCAACAGCATGTGTGCCATAGCTTCACCACCACTGCCGTAGAACATTTTGTTGCATGAGTATACATATTTATGCAACTATTCCCTTGGCTGTTGATGGACACTGAGGTTGTCTCTGCTTTCTGCAGTTATAAGCAAAATGGGATAGACACTCTAGCACATGAAGGGAAACATCTTTGATTCCATTCCCGTGGCAGAAATGCTGAGTTCGTCTCTATGAAGCATACACACCCATCTCTCTCGGCACTGGTGAGGAAACAGTCTGAGTGCTCTCATTGCTCAGGCCCATCTGGGCAACCTGCACTGAGCACCTCCCCTTCAGGACAGAATGCAGGGCGCTCCCTCTCCCAAAGCACAAACAAGTATCATGTTATACTTGTCTAAGCTCTGGAACCACTGGGCTGATTACTGGCAAGAAATGCATGCGAAGTGTCATTAACTCACCGTTATTCTGCACAAGGAAATCGCAGATGTCGTGGTCCTGGGAGAGATTTCCGAAAACACGCAAAGCCTCTAGGATACCATCCATGTTCTTACTTACAAGAAGTTTTAAGAGCACTGGATTTGGTGACAAGAAAAATAAAATCTGTTGAGTTTTAATTTAAAGGAAACCAATCTCATGCTAAATACTGACAAAAATTTAAAATTGAGGCTGGGATGTAGCTCAATGGTACAGCACTTGTCTAGCTAGCAAGAGCAAGGCCCTGGGTTCAAATCCCTCATACTGCAAAAGAAATAGATACAAATTAAATGATAATAAAATGTAAACGCTAAAGCACTTCAGCAAGAAATAAACAACTAATTGTCCTCATCTTCTATTTCTTAAAGTCAGATCATTTGTGATAGAAGTCTAAGACATTTGTGACAGGAATGAAAGACCAAGAATGCCTCCACTTTTGTATTTAGTTAATCAAATTTTGTATTTCGTTAATCAAATCAAAACCTTCAACCTAGCTCTGAACCTTACATTCAGCAATGTATAGCTTTCTGTCTTGGATTATGGAATTCTTCACTTGGTAGAAAGATAAATTGTTGATTGTTGCTGTAGTGTTGATCACCAGCTCCTCAGAGTCATCAAGTGACTTTGATTCTGGAACAAAGCAAGGATAAGAGAGTCAAGGGTGCACCGAGGGGGAGAGGTAACGACCCTGGAAGCACAGCAGCAGCAGTGCCAGGGACAAGCTGGTGTCCTTGGCCAGGTATGTGCAAGGCCCTGGAGGTACTGTTTGCTCCTCTACTTCCCTGTGACTTTTCCTGCATGGAGATGCACCAAATGCGAGGCAGTACTCCCAGCAGGGCAGGCAGGACACTACACTCAGTCCCCACGTCCTGCAAATCTAGAAGAGTCAGGTCAGTCTAGCCCTGTGCCTGAGGAAAAGCACAGGGGCCAATACGCCATGAGCTGAACTGGCTGACGTTACCGGTGTGCCTGGCCCCAAGCTCTGCCAGGGGCTCCTCCAGGGAGAGCGTATTCTCCACACTGCTACCTCCCAACAGGATGCTCCCCACGACCACCCATAACCACTCCCTCTGCCTTCCCAACATGCGGAATCCCTCACGACTCACCTTCTCCATTACCCTAGTCCCTCTCTCCTTCTATTGGCTTCCATTCTCCCACAAGGCCTCGATAAATCTATTCTTAATACAATGGACTTCAAAGATAAGTCAGGTAAGGCCACTCACCTCATAAGCCTGCAGTGGCTCCACCTCACCCAGCCCACAGGCCCTCCTTGGGCTGCTCTGTCCTTACTTAGGACAGAGCCCCAGGGCCAAGCACACCTGTCTCGTTGTTCTGTGGAGCATGTGACCAGGACCCTGCCTGAGAATTTCTGCACTGCTCTTGCCTCTGTCTGGAAGATGCTCTTTCTAGTTATCATGTGGCCCACTCCTTATATCCTTCAACAGTTGCTGACATACCACCTTCCTGGACATAGATTTCATAAGGTTCCTATATAAAATACTGTCTGTTCCTCTCCCCCAGCCCACTTTAATTTTCTCCATAGCATAGGTGACCAACTGATGGTACGTATGTTCAACACTTCTCTTCCAGCCCTGAAGTGTTGCCTCTGTGAGAACTAAAGATTTGTCTGCTTTGTTCATTGCTGCATTCCCAGAGCCTAGAACAATGTCTGGCACACAGCGCATGCACACAATAAACAGCTGCTTAATGCAAGAATGAACAAGCAAAGGAGTGGACCTTTAGTTTAGCACATAAGATCCCAAGTGATTTTGTCCCTGCTCCCACCCAAGCTCAACTCCTGACTATCTGGCCAGAATGCAGAGAAGGGTAGAGGCAGACATTCTCGTTAGGAGCCTCTTGCAGTATTATAAATGATGACATTGCTTGGATGTGGGTGACCACAGTGAAGGAGCAGAGTGGACAGAATGTACTTGGTGAACACTGGTTTCGGATGTGGGGGAGAGGAGCCACCCCTGGGAGAGACGATGGCCCCTAATATCTGGCTTTCATAACTGAGTGGTTGTTTCTAAGGTTTGGATAAGTAACCTCGTGTTAAAGCCTTGGTTTCCAGCCTGTGGTGCTTTCTGCAGGGGGTGGGGTGGGTCTTTGAGAAGTGGGGTGCAATGGGACAATGCTTTATCACTGGGGTTGTGCACTTGAAGAGAACACTGGGACCCAAGCCTCTTCTCCTCCCCTCCTTTGCTGCCTGGCTGGTGTGAGGTATTTGGCTTCTTTGCCACGTGTCCTCACCATGATATACTGATTTGCAACAGGCCCAAAAGCAATGAGGCCAACTGACCAAGGACTGGAATCTCCAAAACTGTGAGCCAAAATCAACTTTTTCTTTCATAGACTGTTTCAGGCAATGGAAAGCTGACCAACACAGATATCACCTGTATTCTCTGAACTACGGGCATTAGAACTGTGCTAGCTCTTTAACTTTCTGATTCAGTGGTCATCCCTTTAGCCGCATTTAACTTGCTATTTTTGAAGGAAAATGTAGCTACAGAAGACATATCCTGGGTTTCAGCCAGTGTCTCTCTCCCCACGACAGCCAGCACAGGAGGCCAGGGTGTGGTAGACACTTCATGAATACATGGAGAAACACAGATGAAAGGAGGCCCTGGCTTCCCTTCTTTTTGGATTAAATACATGGGAAACAGATAAAGATCTGACCTAGCTTGGGCTCCAATGCAGACTCTACAGCAAGGAATATTCTAGTGGGTCCAAGCTTTTAGGGAATGAAAAAAAAAAAGGATCTCAACTGGTTTTGAGGGACTAAAGGTAAAAGAAGAGAAACAGGATCCCTAGAAGTAACCCTGCTTGTTTTGACCATGACTCCGGAGCCCAAATCCTGGCACTTCCCCTATAGGTTGTGTGGCCTTGCTCAAGTTCCTTAAGTTCCCTGGGCCTTCATTTCTTTGATTATAAAATAGGGGCGAGAATTCCACCCGTTATAGAGTTGTTATAAAGTTTAAATCTGTGCATATTCAGCAGGGTCCTAAAAGAGTGCCTGGTGCCTGGTGGACACTAAGTAAATGTGTGTAAATGAACAGACCAGCCGTTCTGCTTCTAAGGGGCAGCTCAGGTGCAGGTCTAATCCTTTTGTCTGGAGGGGTCTGCAGCCTTGATGCCCTCTACACCTGCATCAATGATACCAGACCTTGCACAGTGCTTAGGGATCTGGTTTTCCTCTTCTCTGGAGGGAAATTAGTTACTTGTCCTAAAAATGCAAGGAAGGTCCTAGGAGAGCCCACTTCCCACAGCACCACACGTTTGGGCATAGGATGGCCTGTGACATCAGGGTGAGGGGGTGGGTGCTCACAGCAGCTAAGCATCCACCATGAACAGCACTGAGCACTTTCCGTGCATTTAACCCCACAAAAGCTAATTACTGACAATGATTAAAATGCACTTACAAGCACTTAAACCTGTAACAATTACTCTTCTCAAGTTACACCTGCCTCAGTCATCTTGGGCTGCAGTAACAAAATACCGTAAACTGGGTGGGATGAGCCAATAAAAGCATATTTTGTCATAGTTATGGAGGCTGCTAGTCCACGATCAGGGTACCAGCACAGTCGGGGGCTAGTGAAGGCTTTTTCATGGCTTGCAGACAGCTGCCTTCTCCCTGTGTCCTCACATGCCAGAAGAGGGGAACAACTCTGCTGTCTCTTCTCAAAAGGCCACTAATCCGATCCTGAGGACCCCACTTCACAACCCAGCCTGAACCTAAGTATTGCCCAAAGGCCCCATCTCCAACATCATCACATCGTGACTTCAGCAGATGAATTGGTGGGGACACAATCAAGTCCTTACCAGCACCCTAATATCCCATTTTATAGGTAAGGACACGAAGGATGCAAAAGAGTATTTAGCTTGCCTTCACATGCCTGGGTTTCACAAGCAAACCCCCGGAGCCCAGGTGGATGAGACTCTACTGCCCTGTACTCTCTGCTGCACCCCGCCCAGGCCAAGGACTGTGTTGCTGAGTTCCCGTCAGAGCAGGCTGGGGCCATGTCCTCTGCTTTCCACAAGCACGAGTGCTGGGACTCTGCTTCAGATCACCCTCTGGTACTGACTCATGGGTTGAAAGAGTCTGGCATTTGGATTTGCCAGGAAGGCAGCAAATCTCGGGGTCTGGGGGACAGTTCCTAGCGAGAACATTTCTGATTTCTAAGGCCTCTCTGGAACGAGACTGGCAGCTGGAGCCGAGCACAAGCAGCTCCTATGTAAGGGGAGCTGGGCTGGAGGCAGGAGAAGGAGACAAGCCCAAGGGAAACCTTTGCTATGGGACTGCAAGCGCAGTCAGGCTGAGTGAGTGCTGGCCCTAAGGGGAAATGAGCAGCAGCTGCTCTGACCTTGCCCCAGCAGGCAGGAGACCCGCGCACAGGCCCCTTCCGGAGGCTCCATCACAGACCCACGCTGGCCTTGGCTTGCCCTAAGCCACCTGTCAGGGGAGGCAGAAGCTCTGAGGACCAGCTTCCTTCTGTGGGAATCTGGTCACCATTCCTCACCGAGGCAGAGAAAACAGATGGGGAAGAAGCGGAGAGCAGCGTAGGAGGGCTCAGAAACTCACACTAGCAGCTGTGCCACAGAAGACAAGGAGCAGGTGGGGGATTCTTTGTCGAAGGTGACTTTGGCCCCTGTAAGCTTTTTTCAGAGATAAAATCTTTTGGGAGATAAAGTAGACGAACATTGCCAGGCATGGTGGTTCGCAATTGTAATCCTAGCTATTCAAGGAGCTGAGGCAGGAGGACTGTGAGTTCAAGGTCATCCTAGGCAACTTAGTGAGCTCCTGTCTCAACAACAAGGACACCTCCTTGCCCAAGCAATTGCTCAAAAGTATGGCAGGCCGGAGAGCCCTGACCAATCGCAGGAGAGCAGGGTTTCTCTTTGCTGTGACCCACCTCCCATGCATGGAGCCCTCACAGTGCAGCATTGCTCAGCGAAGCATTTCTCAATGCAAGCCCTCCACCCAGTGTCAGGGCCGTCCAGGGAGCACTTGAACAAGCAGATTCCCGGGACCCACACCCTAGTGATGAATCACAACCTCTCCTCGGAGAGGACCAAGAATCTGCATTTTTAATAAGGCTCCTGGGTGTGTCTTACATGCAAGGAAGTTTAAGAACCACCAAATAAAAGTGCCAGTGGTCACTTAGGAGTGGAATAAGAAAAGCAGGTTATTCCTGGGTTCCATAACCTCAAGGGGGAACCCTGGACAGACCTCACATTGGAATACCCCAAATAACCAAGGCAGAGCACCACCCTGCCAGAGGACTTGGTGATGGGAATAGGGGAGGGACAGACCCCAAAGCCACCAAAAGAGACAGCCAGGGGACCTAGTAGGCTTGACCCCCGGGTTTAACCCTTTTATTTTGGGTCAGATCTGTTTCTTGGACTTTTTCTCCTGCTCAAGAGCATCATCATCTTTTGAATCAAAAGCAGTGTCCCCCGAAAGGCTTGTATGCTCAGATGTAGGGCTTTTACAAGATTATTGAACGTGAGGGCACTAACAACGCACGGTGAGTTCACAGCTGGGGGCCTTATTAGGAGGTGGGGCGCAGCTAGAGGAAGCAGTCACTGTGGCATGACCGGGAAGGGTACACAGTGTGTCACTCCTGGCTCTTTCTCTCTTGCTCTGCTTCTTGGCTCCCACGAGGTGAGCAACTTTTCTCCACCACACCCTTCTGCCATGATTTTCCTGCGTTATCACGAGCCTACAAGCAGTGGAGCCAGCTGACCATGGACTGACACCACGGATTGAAACCGTAAGCTGAAGTAAACCTTTCCTCCTTCACATTATTCTCAGATATCTTGAAACAATGATGCAAGCTGACTAACACAATCCCTTTACCTGACATGTTCTCATCTATGGCAGGCTCAGTTCCTTTACTTGACCAAGCTGCTGCAGTCAGGTAAAGGGTTTGGGTCAGGAACAGAATTCCCAGTGGGTTCCAGACTAGCTCCTCAAGATCTGGAGAAGCGGACTGTGGTTCCCAGAAGCCCCAGGTCCCAACACTTAGTGAGCAGGGAAGAGTTAAGGGCATCCATCCTACAGAGTTAATTTCTGGTAGGAAACTGGAACGGCTATTTTAATGAGTCCCACAGCAGATTCGGAAGCTTCCCATCTCTTGCCTTGGGCTGAAAAGCACCACCCAGAGGGTCCTCCAGAAGGGGGAGGGATATCAGCAGGCAGGGGCCTATCGCATGCAAAGGCTGAAAAGCTTGATGCTGTAACAGACTGGGTTTCTGTAACAGCTAGATGTATATTCTACCAAATGGTTTACATGCAGCCAGCAGCTTGGAAGAGAGTTCAAGACTAACTATGTGGATTTGGGGTTTGTTATGCAGAAGTGATAAAGCATGGAGACAAATCCTGTCTTCAGACAGGAACATTTGGGACTCCATGACCTGCCGCCTCGTGACCCATAAAGTCACTCTAGCTCATGGAGCGCATTTCCTCATCTGACCTCAGGAACAAAAACTCAACCTCACACCGCTGGGAGGTGATAGATATCAAAGTGATTTTTACACAACAAAGCTCCACAAGAAGATAGGGCATTGTCACTTACACAAAGCATAAGCCTCACACCCACTGCTGCTCCCACAGCTGTGGCCTATTGGCCCTTGCGCTCCTCTGTGCCTTTCTCCTGGCACCTTTCATAAGCTGTGGTTCCTGCCTGCACACCTGTCATCGCTCCAGACAGAGGCTGGGTTCCTTGAAAGCAGACCACAGCCTATGCTTTTTAAACCTTGTTACAGACTGAGTATCTGTGGCCTCCTCCACACATCAAAACCCTAACACCCAAAGAAGTGGTATTTGGAGGTAAATCCCATGAGGATGAGGAGGTGATAAAAGTTAAATAAGGCCATAAAATCCAATAGCTGGTGCCCTAAAAAGAGGCAGATGAGCTGGGGACATAGCTCAGCGGCCTAAGCACCTGCCTGGCAAGCACAAGGTCCTGAGTTTGACTCCCGGTACCAAAAAAGAAAACAAACAAACAAAAAAAAGAAAGGCAGAGATACCAGCCCATGCTCTCTTCGCTGTGTGAGGGCTCAGCAAGAAGATGGCCATCTACACACCAGGAGAGAGCCTGACCCGCATTCCAACCTGCTGCCAACTCAACCTTAGAGAGAATACATGTCTGTGCTTTCAGCTGCCCAGCATTTTGTTACAGCAGCCTGAGCAGACTAAAACAAACCAGCAACACGCAGCATAGGACTGACTATGCTGCCATGGGGACTCAAAAAGTGAATAGATGGGGTGGAGGGAGTTCACGAAAACATAATTTTTTTCAGGCATTAAACTTCCACAGCAGCAAAATCTGCTACAACTCTGGTTATTAGTGGTTACACTGATTATCTTGGATTGCAGTTAATTTTTCTCAGACCTGCAGGCAGAACTGCTTGATTGGGGGGCCTAAAAAATGGAAAGGGGAGCTGGGGATGATGGTGCACACCTGTAATCCCAGCACTCTGAGGAGGCTGAGGCAGGAAGATTGCATGTAGGAGCCCAGCCTGGACAACTGAGTGAGTTAGTGAGACCCTATCTCAAAATAAAAATTTTAAAAGGACCCAGGGAGTTCACTCCTTAGTCCTGGAGGAAAAAGATGGGGTGCTATGGACTGAACTGTGTTCCCCCAAAACTCAAATGTTGATAAGGCTAATCTAGGAGTAATAAGGTTAAACGGGGTTGTAAGAGTAGTTGCCTGTCCCAGTAGGACAGGTGATCTGATAGGAGAGCACCCCACACACACACACCCCAAGGGCTCCCACCAAGAGCAGTCCTGCGATCACACAGTGAGAAGATGTTGTACGCAGGCCATAAGAAATTGCCCTCGCCAGAAACTGCCCCAGCTGGCTGGCGTCTTGCTCCAGAACTTCTGGCATCTGGAAGTGTGAGAAACAAGTTTCTTTGAAGCTGCACCATCTATACTATTGTATTAAAGTCCCACAGTCCATGACATTGTGGGGCGGCAGCCTGAGTTCGTAGAATGGGGGAGACGTGACCCAAAGGACTGGGCAACATAATCACAGGTAACGTAAGAACTGAAAGGAGAGGGGCTGGGGATTTAGCTCAGCGGCATAGCACCTGCCTGGCAAGCGCAAGGTTGTGAGTTCGATTCCTGGTACCAGAAGAAAAACAAACAAACAAAAAGGAACTCAAAGGAGAAAGGAGACATGAACTTGAGTCCTGTGGACTGCCTCAGAAAGAATTTGGAATTTAAAATTCTTTGGGATTCCCTGGGCCAGTTTTTGCTCATTTATAACTGTTTTAAGTTGTGATATAAAAAATTCACCCTTCTTCCTGAGAAACCACTCTGAAGATACCACCTCGTATTACAGCAGCCATTGATATTTTCCTACTAATCTATCCATAACTGTGTAAAGTTTGTAATGTTCCTATCCTATTTCATAAATGGATGTATGTTTATTATTATGTGTTTCCTACAACAACCATTGAGAATAGTTAATGATTTTTCAATAGGTCACTCATGTATAGCTCTATTTATTTTCTTTAGAAGCCACTTTGAAGATACCAAAGTATAGTACAACAACTCTTGATAATCTCCTACCTCTTTTGTCTGTAACTCACTATTATTTGTCTATTTGTTTTCCTGAGAAACTATTTTGTAGACAATAATATGTAAAATGGTAACCATTGATAATTTCCTACCATTTTGTCTGTAATTTGCTAAGTCCCCCCTATTATTATGTTATCCTTCTTTTATTCTTTAAAATAAAAAAAAAAATTCACCCTTATTAAAGTGCACAATTCAGTGGATTTTGGTAATGATCTACCATCAGCTGTGTCCAACCTGCAGCCTACCTTTTCTTTTCTTTTCATTTTTTTGAGTGAAGAGGAATTGTCTGGGGCTATATTTAAAATATAATCAATGGATATAAGTAACAAAATTTCTTTTATCTATTTTTGGTTTTTTTGAAACACTACAGCCCAGGCTGGCCTTAAACTCTCCATCCCCCTACATCAGCCTCTCAGATATGGGGAACACAGGCATGGGGCGGGTGGAGGGGCAGGACAAAAAAAGATGTGGGCCACAGGTTAGCCGTGGTTTTTCTCTCTTTCTAAAATCTGGAATACACTGAAGGCCATTGTCAAGGGAAGAGGCATTTTTCTCACAGAGGTTCAGGGTCCCTTTGAGCCGGCCAAGCCCTCACACACCCCTGCCCGGAGCTGTGCTGGGCCAGCTCTCACCCAGCGTGGTCAGCAGCAGGCCCACGACGCGCGAGTCTGCGGCCAGCGCAGGGCCCACGCGCGGGTGGATGGCGATGTTGGCCAGCACGCGGGTCAGCTTGACGAGCACGTCCTCCGCCTCCGACGGCAGCCTGGGCCCGGCGGACTGCTCAGGCCTGGCGGGGAGCAGGCCCGGCTGCTGGTATGTCTGGAATAAGGACAGCAGAGTTCCGATGCTCCCTTTCTCTTTGGAAAAGCATTCCCGGGCCTGGTTGTTTTTCGCTGTCAGGTTGCCAAGGATAAAAACAACTCGAACGACTAAATCCTGCAATAGATAAAAGAAGTTAGGAGAGCAAAGGGATGGGAATAAGTTGTTGGAAAGAATACGCCTGGGTTTAATTTATTCACAATGTAATTAATAGTAAAATGAACACGGCTGGCTTCTACTAACTCGTACAGTTTCTGACTCCCAAGATGGGTGGAAGCGATTAAAAGCTCTTGCCCGAAGTGAAAGACAACAAAGCTGGTGGATGTGACCAGCAAGGCCTATTAACTTTAGCTCCTGCATCTGACATTCTGGGTGGCCCTTTTTTTCCCCTCCTGGAGAACAAGTAGTGAAGTGGGATAAGGTATCATATAAATCTAAGTTCTGACACGAACAGTTTTCTCTTGAGCAGCTACATTTTCCTCAAAATTCATCTCCACATGAAGCACTATGTCTCTAAAATGCAGGCCTTTCCCAGTAGTGGACTGTATTGCAGCAGGGTCCTGTGTGTGTGTGTGTGTTGTTTTGCATTGGAGATTAAACCCAGGGCCAGCACACTGAGCTCCACCCCCAGCCCTTTTTTTTTAATTTAAAAAAATTTTTTTTAAGTTTTAAATGTTTTTATTTGAGACAAGGGTCTAAATTGCTAAACTGTATAGGCTGGGCTTGAACTTGTGATCCTCCTGCCTCAGCCTCCCAGAGAGCTGGGATTACAGGGGTGGGCCATTGTGCCCAGCTCTGCAGGGTTCTTACTTTTGTCACTGTTGACATTTGCAGCCAGATACTATCATTATTTGGCAGATGAGGGGGCTGTCTTGTGCGTCCATGGCCTCTCTCTTCTTAGATGCCTGTTGCACTTTCCACATATAATCACTAAAACATTTAAATGTCTCCTGGGGCAACATGGTTTGCAGCTGAGAACCACCATGTTACCGCATTAAAGTTGTGCTAGTTCTTGACCTGGATGATGGTCACTTGAGTGACACTTTTATAACTGCTTGCTTAAATTGTATGTATGTGTTATGCATTTATTTGGATATAAGGTATATTTCACAATTTAAAATTAAAGATACAGAAAGAATTGTGTTCTCAAGTTGACAACAATGCAGACAGAAGTTAAGATGAGCCTTTCTTCTAAGTGGTGTGATGGTCACCTGGGGGGAGACATGAAAAGAATACTTAACTGGGGGCTGGGGATTTAGCTCAGCGGCAAAAAGCGCCTGCCTGGCAAGCGCAAGGTCGTGAGTTCGGTTCCTGGTACCGGAGAAAAACCAAGAAAAACAAAAAAAAAAAAAAAAACAAAAAAAACAAACAAAAAAAAGAATACTTAACTGAGGGCCGTTAATATTTATTTTAATATTTATTTTTTCAGGCACCATATCCTTTCACAGACAAGAGACTGGGTCCCAGAGAAGCTGTCCCAGGCACATGGCTCGTGGGAAGGGGTGGTGCAGGATTTGAACCAGGATTACCCAGACCCTGGAATTCTTGCTATATCTCTTTCCTGCCTCCCTTGGAGTGTTTAAAAATTATCTCCTCTTTTGCTTTCCTGGCCTGCAGAACAGCTAAAGAATTATCTTTTCAAAACAAATATGCCACCAGAAGCAGTGAGCATAAACCTAACTGTGTGTATCAGAATAATAGTTATCAGTAGCCTTAAGGGAAAGAGACAATGGCAAAGGCCTGGGCCTGTTTTCCTAGAGAAAACTGCAGGACCAAGTGGGACCCCAGGGGCCCAGGGCAGGCGGTGCTGGGTGTGGCAAAGACAGCTGAGGATTAAGGACAAAGGACGACATCTGCTTTTGCCTAGGACTACTCTGCCAATCCCAACTTGCTCTTGCTCTTGCTCTCTGAAAAAAAAAAGTTTCCCCTGACGTTTTGGCAGAGAAGCAGCGAGGTTGCTGCTTGTACAGCTGGGAGTCATTTGCCAACATTAAGACAAGACAGAGCCTAACACTATCACAAGGACTGGAGCTGGTCCAGGACAGCATTCATTTTCGGAAACATTTCAACTCAGAGCATTCAGCCAATCACAGTCATCATCCAATTAGGATAGTCTACTCCTCGCTCCACCCCAGCATTCAGCCAATCACAGCCAGCATCCAAGTAGGAGCTGCTACTCCTCGGTCCACCCCAGGAAAGGGTGTCAGCCCTTAGATAATGCTTGGCTGGGGTGGGGAGCTGGGGGATACACACAGAGTGTGCGGTAGCGCTCACTGAAGAGTTTATAACCTATCAGAGACAACAAGGCGAACTAATCTCTGTGGAGAAACAGCACAGACTAAAAGAGCTAAGGAAGGGCGAAACTGAAGAGGATTATAAATTCCAGCTCTAGAGCCAGGCAGTCTGGGTTCATAGAAGGATTTAGCCTCTTTGGATCACTACTGAGTCATTTGCAAAATGGGGGGAATATTGCATTGTGAGATTAAATGAGATAAAACAGGCAAAGCACAAGTTGTACTGAATAATAATTCGGGCCCCGCTCTGAACACTTTTCCCATATTAGCAATGAAATGTTAGCTAATAGCACTGAACCATGGTGTACAGTCAACGGTCTAAAAGGGAGCAGAAAAGAGGATGTTCGGGGAGTGCTCGGGGGCGGGCAGCAGAGTTACCACAAATAAACTTGAGTTCAACCCTGAAAACATACGGGAGAAAGACAGCGGGTTAGTGGGGAGGAGTCTTTTGAAGGGGACAGTTTCCTCCCTAGAGCCTGGTGTCACCTGGACATTCTTTGATCACCTGAATGTCCCCCACAAGAAGCTGGAGCCAGTGGGCTTTAACTCCAAAGCAAGTTCACCCAGCATGACTGTATTACTTGAATCCCACTTCACATAAAACCAATGGTTCCTTCAACTAATTCCCAATGGCGGAGGCCCTTCCCTGGGCTCCGGAGGGAGGGCGCGGAGGCAGTAGCCGCTCCTACACCAGAGCCAGACCCAGTCGAAAAGCAGGAAGTCAGCTTTCTACTCAGCACAGAGGGAATTTCCAAGAATTAAGAACCTCGATGCAAAAGTTCTGTTTTATATTTTCTAAGCTGAGGACTGTGAGTAAAATTTTCGCGGCGGTTTCCACGTTTTCTGATTAGACACTGTTCCGGCACCACTTCTGAAAATCATAGTAGTAGCAGTAGGCGCAGCAACTGGTACACAGAATTTACAATGTGCGCGGGCCCTGCCTAAGGTTATATGCACAATAACGCATTACAAGTAACTCCACTTTGGTCATCGGAAAGAGCTCTCCATGACTCTCACAACCTGGACACCGGCTCCCTCACTCAGGTGACAGCAACCTGTTAATGGTTTTTGGACTTCACTGTGAGCCCTGGACTGTGCTCTTCTCTCCCATTTCCACAGAAGCGCTAAACAGGGCAGGAAGGACTTGAGCGATGTGAGTGCCTTCTTGAGGAATTTAATAGTCCATTCTGTTTGCTAAATCATTAATGGGATTAACCCATTTACCTCTCCCCTGTCACTGCCATATTCTGAAAGATGCTGGGCTGTTTTGTTTTTCTCTCTGTGCCTCGCTGCTTCACCTTACCTACCCAGGCTTGTTTTTCCCATCGCCTAACCCAGCAGGCTCCCTGGCCTTGTACCACCTCTGCGTATCACTGCAGAGCTGCTAGGAGTCTTTGGACCAGACCCTGGCCTAGAGGTCAAAGCAGGTTTTCTCAGTGATCATCATTCTTCAAAATTCAAACCACCTCTACCCCCACTGTCACCTGTGGACTAACCTGGAAGATTAAGTGTTGCTTTTCTTTTTCTAAAAGTTCCCCAAGGCTCTTTCCACTTAATTCTAAAACTCCTTAACTCTAATGTCTCTGTGGGTCTCACTGTGGCAGGGTTTATTAACCCTTACATAGGGAAGAAGAAAGTCCAGGCCATGGAAGAGGCAGAATTAACACCGACACACTATCTCTTCCCCTGCTTTCAGATGGAAAAATGAGGAGGTGGTTCCTGGCAGCCGCAGTGCCAACTGCAGGATGGCTCGCAAGATCAACAAACGGAACGGCAGATTGCGCCTGTTCGCAGCACCCAGCTTCAGCGACTGCTCTGCTCACTGGCTCGCTCCCCCTTCTTGGGCTTGGCTAAGGCGTCTTGTCTTTTCCCCTCGCTCCAATGTGTCCTCCGCGGATCCAGGGAGCGTGAGATAGGCCAGAACAGAAGCGGCCTCGTGGGCGGTTGGCAGAACTGGGGTTCCCTGGCTCAGTGCCAGGGTCTGTCTGGGCTTACCTGGGATCCTGAGGTGGGAGGACCCTCACCTCGCCACAGGGGGCCCTGCTCCCCCTCTTACACCCCAGGTTTCTTCCACAGCACCAGGTCTGCACTGGGCAGGATTATGGAGACAGCCCAATTCACTGCAAATCTATACAGTATCACTCAGTAACCTTCCTATAAAGAGCTGTAGAAGGTAAACCACGGCCCAGAGCATGGATTTGTAGAGGCCACCAATTCCACAGCAGAAAACTCGTTCATCAGTATGCAGTTCTCCATGCCTTTTATTCTTAGACAGTATCCAAGAACATAAATCGGCACTCCAGTTTTATAACATTTTTATTGAATTCAACACAAAATTGGACATTCATACCACAACTATGTGGTTTTGGAACAGCGAAATGAAAATAAATTTGGAGAGAGGACTCTTTTCCTGAAGCAGGTAGTCTCGTATAACCAGTTTATACTGACTAATTTGCTTAAAACAGAACCAGCCTCACCACAGCACTGCCAACCAGAGTTCAAATGGGAACTGCAAAGGGCCTGACCTCAGCCACGCATTCTGGTTACAGCCATCTTCCTTAGCTCAGCATATGTTGTACCCTAATGAACAAGCATGCTACTCAGGCAAGCTGGGCCCCACACGCCTGTAAATGTTTAAAACCGCTTTAACAGGAACAAAACATGCGCAGGAGCACAGGGGTCTGTCAGGGCCCATCCATAGCAGCAGCTGCAGCGGCCTAGTTGTTCGGTGTTACTTTTCCCAGGGGAGAGTCTGGCTGGAGGCCAATAGAAGAGGCCCCAGCCCTAGTCAGAGAGGGACATTGAGGCTTGAAGAGACTCAAT